CGGTGATTTTTACCACAATTGCACAATGAAGTTTCACTTTGACATATGCAGACAAAGAATTTACCTCTTCCACTATGGAAAAAACAGTTAATGGTGATTAAATTATTATTATGAATAAAATAAAATTCAAACTAATCGAAGAATATTTCATGGATATAGATTCGCTGAAAAAATAGAGCGATTCTGCTGTTGTTACGATTCATCCGCGAGAAGTGCGGGTCTTGGCATCCGCGAGAAGTGCGGGTCTTGGCAGCCGCAATAGCTATACCGCTGATTGAACGTACCGGTAGTCGTAGTATCGCTGGCTGATTTACATTACCTGCGCCCACATCAAAACAAACGTAAACGTACATTCGCTTGGCGTTCGCGTACGATCTACTATTTACTATCGAGATCAATTATTTTGCTAGGATTTGTGGCTAAATTTATTCATTACAATTAATTGTATACTTCGAAGTCCATTAAAATGCTGTTTTGTACAAATTCTTCATTCATGTCGAAATTTCAGCCATAATTCTAGTGCAACATCGTGTATGTAGAAAACTTCGAATTTAGCGCGAATGACGGAACTACTTTCTCAATAACACTGCACTGCACACACAGTAATCATTTGCATTTCGCGATAGACGAAACCCTTACGAAACTAAACCAAACCAAAACAAAACAGAGAGAAATACACTACCGTATTTGCCGGCGTAAAGGCCGCAGTATTTTTGGAAGAGAAAATATCAAATAGTTGGGGTGCGGCCTTTACGGCGAAAGAGTAAAAAAAAAAAAAATTAAAAAAAAAAAAGTCAAAACCAGCACGAATGTGCACATATGGGACTACGAACGGTAAAATAACTATACCACTATGGTACAGGACATTTCCACACATCTTACCGACAATTTTATCTTTCATTGTTGACATGAAGACAGAAATAAACGTCCTAACACAACATTTGCTGATAGATCTTGATCTAAGTTCGTGCCAATGCATTGCAAAAGTAAAGGAAGGGACCGTTTAACGGAGCTGCTGCAAACATCCATCCGAAGTCGCCATTTTGTTATCCATTTCATGCAGTTTCGCATTACACTGTACATTGTGGTAGGGGTATATATCGGACACCAAATCTGCCTGCGATCACTTTTTTAGCTAAACTTCCGGTAAATTATAAGAATATTGATGAATTTGGTATCAGTTTGTAAAAAAAAAAGAGTGTTTTCGAGAAAATTATGATTATTTTGTTTTGTCCGTTTGTCGTTCCCCCCCCCCCTTTTTTTTTTTTTTTTCCTCTTTGAAATGTCAAAGTTGGGGTGCGGCCTATGCGGCGGTGCGACCTTATCGCCGGCAAATATGGTATTCTATGTAACTATAGTTTTCTTCTGAAAATGGAGAAGAAACATTATTCACTGTTATGTCTCAGGAAATTCCATCTCAGAACATGATTCTACTAAAGGTAATTTTGTTTTGAAACACAGCTAGGTTGGTTTTTCATACTACTATATCGTACTAACAGCACAGCTGGCAAGCTAAAGCCGGTGAAAAAATTAAGTTGTAAACAGTTATTTTACGGATATTGTCACTTTTTCAATGCCAATAATTACATGAATATTGACATAAGAATATGTTTCAGGACGGGAGAGGACAACTGTATGTCAGATATTGATCATTCAGGCAATATTAAATCGTTTTGAGAGAGTGGAACTGACATCCACTCTATGAACATTTGCATGTAGATCGCAGTTAATGTAGTCTCTGTAGCAGCGTGAAGCATATCCCGGTTCTGACGTCACGCACAAAGCCACTTCCCTTAGCCGATTTCATAGGTCCGGAGAGAGTCAATTTAGTGAAATTCGATTTTTATAAAACACTAAATTGCCCACTTTCATGGCATGTTAGCTGCATAAATTGCTTTAAAGAGAAGGTTGAGTTGTGGGAAAAGGTGAAAAATAATTTGTGAGCATTACCATTCTTATTATGCAAGTGTGGAAGAACATCAGATAAGACATGTTCCCTGAAAAGCATGGCTCTTCAAATGCCTTCATATTCTAAATATGTCATGAAACATCGTAAAACATCGTTTCCCCCCCCCCCTTTTTTTTTTTTTTTTCCTCTTTGAAATGTCAAAGTTGGGGTGCGGCCTATGCGGCGGTGCGACCTTATCGCCAGCAAATACGGTATTCTATGTAACTATAGTTTTCTTCTGAAAATGGAGAAGAAACATTATTCACTGTTATGTCTCAGGAAATTCCACCTCAGAACATGATTCTACTAAAGGTAATTTTGTTTTGAAACACAGCTAGGTTGGTTTTTCATACTACTATATCGTACTAACAGCACAGCTGGCAAGCTAAAGCCGGTGAAAAAATTAAGTTGTAAACAGTTATTTTACGGAAATTGTCACTTTTTCAATGCCAATAATTACATGAATATTGACATAAGAATATGTTTCAGGACGGGAGAGGACAACTGTATGTCAGATATTGATCATTCAGGCAATATTAAATCGTTTTGAGAGAGTGGAACTGACATCCACTCTATGAACATTTGCATGTAGATCGCAGTTAATGTAGTCTCTGTAGCAGCGTGAAGCATATCCCGGTTCTGACGTCACGCACAAAGCCACTTCCCTTAGCCGATTTCATAGGTCCGGAGAGAGTCAATTTAGTGAAATTTGATTTTTATAAAACACTAAATTGCCCACTTTCATGGCATGTTAGCTGCATAAATTGCTTTAAAGAGAAGGTTGAGTTCTGGGAAGAGGTGAAAAATAATTTGTGAGCGTTACCATTCTTATTATGCAAGTGTGGAAGAACATCAGATAAGACATGTTCCCTGAAAAGCATGGCTCTTCAAATGCCTTCATATTCTAAATATGTCATGAAACATCGTAAAAATCCAGGGTAGGATTTTTACGCCACGTGTTCGTGTAGTCCCATATACATCTTTCTGTGTACAGTGTTTGTAACTTTACCAAGACTTGGCCAAATTTCTTGTCATTTTGATGATTCCAGAACCTTGCAATACACACAAATTATTATATGCTAGATGATCAACCTTTTCTGGTCGATTCCACACCGTTTTTTTCACAATGCAATCGCATGACCAGGACTCAACTTCACCTTTAATAACTCATTCAATAATAAAATAAACTATATTTAATTGATTTTATTTCCTATAAGTATCAACTTTAAAGTAATATAAGCTTACTCAAAAATAGAATATAGATTTACTCAAAAATAGAATATACCTTGTTAATAAACAGGGTCTGACATATATAATTGGACTTGTTCATTTATGTCATTTTATGTTTTTGCTAATATTTGTGATACTTTTTTAATGGAATGTGGAAAACAAAACTTGAAATAGAATTCATATTAGTTGAAAGATGGCAAGACAATAAGAAATCCATGCTGCTGTATTTGCTTTAATTTTCTCCTAAAGTAGAATATTAAACATGTTTTTGAGTCATTTTTATTATTCCATAGTGTGATCCATCATCCCAATGTAAGCGTACAAAAGAGTACCCGGTACACTTACATGTATCTGTTGATATATTTGCGTTATTCTTAGTTTATCATAAGGAAACCTTGTACATTTGCATCATGAATATATTCGTTGAAATTTTAAGAAGGGAGAAATCTAATTATTCATATTAAATACATCAATGTCCTTTTGTAACACTGAATCATTGTCTCCAGAAACCCATTCTCCAAGTTATCATGGTGGAAGACCATTAGCAGGGAAGAAAGTAACTACCCTACTTAGACGAGTCGCCATGGTTACGGCATGAGACTCTGAACTCTTGTATCAATGACTTCAAACTATTTCACTCACGTTTAGGAGGGTGAGATAGAAAAGAAATCTTGAGGCATATCGATCATGATATCTCTAGGATTTCAGCCAAGGACATTGCCGCAATTATCATGGCTTTAGTGATGCGGTTTCCATGGTAACACCATATGATGATGCCCCACTTATGTAGATTTCCACAAAAGGGAGGATACTGATTATGTAACAAACAATCTCCCATATCTCTTCCTATCCATAGTCCATCTTGAGTTTAATACTGACTAACATAGCTCTGGTACAATGCAAGTACATTTCATATTTTTGTCTTTTAAACAGTTGATACCGCAAATACAAATAGACACTTTCTTTGCATTTGGATAAAACTGATAAATCAATTAAGCAGTAAGCATGACTCACTGAATGTATTGAAGTCATGTCAAGTCAGGTGAAATGTCCACCATGACAAAACACATGTACCGGTAATGATGAAAAAGATGCAAGATAGATACAACAAAGATACAACAAAGTAAAAAGGGTGTGATATCTGCTTTTACAATGTTTGCTCTGGGTTCAATTTCATCTAAGAGGTTGCCATATTGCTAACTGTTATGAATGGGTTAATAGTAGTCCTAGGGTTAGGTGTAGTGTATAGTATGATGGTCCAGAGTTGCAGTTAGGAAATTGTGAACGGTTAAGGACGTTCCCTGTAATGTGTGTGCACAGTATGTATTTACTATGCACAATACCAGGAACTTCAAGCATTGTAGATGGTGAATACCTAACCAGCTGGCCCTGAGCAGCTAAGGTGAGCACGAAAATAACACTGACAGCCAAGCAATTACCAATAGAGCATATCGTATGCTGAGTCACAGAAGGCTGTTAACTGATACAATTATTATTATTTTATTATTATTTTATTTGGCAAATCAAGTCACATAAATACAACAATATAACAAACATGAATTGAGACAAAATCAATAGAAAACATATATAAATATTGCAATAGCAGGTGCATCCGGTCAAACTGCCCGGGTATGGAAAAAGTTAACCGCAGACTTTCCTCCCCACACCTGACCAGATGCACCTGATAGTGATTGAAATAAAGCTTTAAAAAGAAAAGAAAGATGAGGAGAAGGGGGAAAAATAGGAGAAAAGGGAGAAGAAAAAAAGAAGCTACACCGTGGTTTCTCTGAGTAGATGATGTATTTTACGATTATTTCCTTACCACATCTGGGAATGTCACACTTCTCTGCCCTGACGTCCGGGTTGGTCGTGAAGCACCAGGGTTTGTCCAGACCGTTGCCAGGGTTACGGCAGAAGTTATGACCTCCAGCAAGTTCTCGGTAGTGAGAAGGCCACAGGGCATGCTCATGGGGCTGATACAAGGAGAAGTAGAAAGTGGTAAAGTGTAATGACACCAAGATAAAAGACCCCATAACAATTACCTTTACGATTAGCATGGAGTTAGGGCTTGTAAAGCGGTTCAAGTTAGTAAATGGTGTAGGTTGAGTTTCTTTCCTTCCTTCTTTTTTCCCTTTGAGTGGATTGTTGTTTGCATCAAAGGGACATTTTTCTTTGTGAGTCAATTCCAATCAAGTAATTTATGGTTTGCCTTTTTTGTAACCCTAATAACCTTTTTGGAGATTTTTACCATACATTATCAAAAGATACAACAACACCTCTAAATCTATATATAATATGTCAATTTACAAGAATAGGGAAATTTTGTTTAATTTCTTTCTTCCACTACTAAAATGAGCACTAAATATCTTCCACAGGATTATTTTTCAAGACAAATGAATCTGTTTCCATTTCAGGGAAAGGTAGCTGTTCCAAGTTAATAGTTAAAGTAAGATATCTAGTTTCTAGGACAAGATTTGTGACTCATGGCGTAGAAAGGATTTAAGCTTTAAATCTGATTGTGTACCTCTTGCTTATCCCACGACTGACAGGCAAATCCTGATTTGGTTGTGTTGATTCTGCCTCGGTAATCTTCTCCTGTATCGTTGTAACACTTGTGATCTAATGAACAAGAGAGGGATGGAGAGACATGTTTAATCAACGAAGAGAGGCAGGATGAAAGAGGGAGAGGAAAAGAGAGAGGGAGGGAGGGGAAATGGAGGGTGTGAGCATTCGTGTGTGGGAGTGAGAGAGAGTGAGAGACAGAGACAGAGACAGAGACAGAGAGAAGAGAGAGTGAGAGACAGATAGAGGAGTGAGAGAGGAGAGAGAGAGGAGTGAGAGAGGAGAGAGAGAGAGGAGTGAGAGAGGAGAGAGAGAGAGTGAGTGAGAGACAGGGAGAGAGGAGAGAGAGAGAGAGAGAGAGAGAGTGAGAAACAGGGAGAAGAGAGAGTGAGAGACAGAGAAAGGAGAGAGTGAGAGTGAGGAAAGAGAGAAAGAGAAATGGAGAGGAAAGAGAGATGAAAGAGGGGAATAAAGTGAGAGAGATAGAGAGATAGAGAGAGAAAGAAAGAAAGTGAGACAGAAAGTAAGAAAGCAAGAGAGAGAGAGAGAGATGAGGAAAGAGAGGTATGCACAATATAACACAGAAACAAACAGAATGAGACTTAAACATGAAAACTGAGACAGGTACAGCCAGACTGAGTGAGATCGTGTTGGTGAGTTATACAGAGAGGCAGGAAAGTGGAGGGTAATTGGAGACATAGAAAGTGAAAGATGAAACAGATACAGTCTAAGGAATATGCCAGATGAATAATGAGATACTACACGCAGAACACCCCGAGGATTTTGAAGAATAGACATGTGTAGAGAGAGTGTAGATTAAATAGGTCAAACTAATCATTTATGAATACACTGTTTCCCACAAAGTTGGAATATATTTTCTTACCTCTTTTAATAATAATGTGATTGTGAGAATAATGGTTTATTCTTGATAGATAAAGTTTACATCTTCACAGAACTTTTATTGATCAATTTCCTTGACTCTTTAAATTGATCAATACAGTTACGAGGAGACATATAACCTTTATCTAACAAGAATAAACTATACTGCCAAAATAATGTCATGAAAAGAGGTGAGAAAAAAATCATTCCAACTTTCTGGGCAACAGTCACGTATCTGAACATGAATGAGAGAAGTATAGAAACAGACAAGGATGAAGAGATAGACAAAGAGAAAACAAGAAGTGTGGAGAGTTATCACAGTTCAGCTTCATGCATGGTACAAAACACAATTAGAATTACAGTAAAGGTATTACACTTTACAATGCATAAATCTATTATCAAATTCAAGAAGAAGAAAAAGAAGCTTTTCTCCATCAAGAAAATGTGGTTAAATTGGCCTACAACATTTAACAAGTCAATATAAGGAGCCATATCGGAATACAGGACTATTCTTTTGGACTTTGACGCATATCAACTTACAGATTTCTTGGTGCAGTGTTGAACTTATTGAACTTATGGTGGTTTTAATTTAAACGCAAGATAAACAAATCAACCAGGTTCCTAATGGGAAATTAATTGTGGTATTAGCCAAACAATAGTCACCCTTTGGTCATCAGTGGGAGGTTGTTTGCTTTAGTTTCTAAGATGGCAAACATCATCAGTCCCACTATATGTAAATCTATGTCAGTGAGGCAGGTGAAGTTTGCACAGTGTCTCTGTACTGACCTAGTGTCAATACTGAGAACAAGTATTGCTCTACATGGACTTGTCAAGGTCAATTAGGACTGGTACTTGAAAGAGAGATCTGATGCTAGTAATGAATCATAATAATAACTGAATAAACGCAATGACAGGTTCTAACATCAAAGTGGTTAAACATGTAAAATGAATCTATGCTCCCATTTCAATTGATCTATATGCCATTGAACCGAAAAGGAGACTGTTAGTTAAAGAATAAAAATAATAATAAAAAAAGTGCTTATAAAGAGCTTCCCACCAAAGTCTCTAAGCAACTTGAGGGAGAGATCTACTGAAATTTCTTGGTACCAATTTTTTTTTTTTAAATTAGACTTGACAGAATTTTTGTTCTCACCATGCTCACTTATAATAACATTTCCTTCAGCGAAGGCACTGAATCTAAACATGGCATATATGCAGAGTAACAGAATTAAAATAAATTACGATACCTGTGACTGCGGCGACATCTGGTAGGCCCACACGTATGCAGTTAGCGTTTGCATTGGTACCGATAGCTGGTAACCTCGAGCAATCCGGTAAGATCACATTGGGCATCTCCTTGGCGATCTGGTACTCCGTCTTGCAGATATCCTGCTCCAGGATCTCACACTCGTCCCTGCAGAGCTCCCTCCCGCGAGGCTCCTGCCTCGTCTCGTCGCAGAACGGGAACGCGAAGAAACAGAGGGAGGGGATGGCGTACTGCTGACACTGCGGGCTGAGGTCACGGGCCATCAGCAGGAAGGCTTGGGTCAGGCGTTCATCGATGAGCTTCTGAGCTTGGAAGTCGGTCACGTAGATGGAGTGGTTGCTGATGAAGTTGGAGCATGTCATCCCTCGATATGGCTGACAGTAACCTTGAGATGGACTAGAGAGGGAGTGATAATAAAAGATGTAACAATAAAGGATAGTTTCGTAGTATCACTAAACTAGGAAAAATTGTCTTTTTAACATCACATTGTATATCAATCAGTGGTTTTAGAGTTATGTTGCTTAAACAATAATCAAAGCTTTCATAAAATTTGTTCTTCCTTCTAATTTAACAACCCTGGGTTGAGATAGGCATCAGCAAAATAATGCCTTGTCTGAATACATGCATTCTAAGGAATCAAATTCTCAACGTTTTGATTGGAAAATCAAGTTTATGAATGATGATATGGATGAGATTCAAAACATTATTAAAAACGGCTCATTGAACCTTCATTTCTATAAATTATAAATTATCTCTACTGAAAATGTAATTGTTATTATTGCATTTAATAGATTGGCAGTATATCAATGAATACATACATACATACATACATACATACATATTGGTATTTATTGAGCGCCTTTACATGAACATGCTCAAGGCGCTTTACATTTTAAAATACAAACATAATTTATATATACTCTCCAAGTGCATGACAATTACAAAGAAAACAAATGAATTTTTAAATGAATGAATGAATGAGAATGGTTCAAACAAAGAAATTAACTGTTTTATTCTAGACCAGACTTCAGTCATTATTACAATGTTAACTAAATAAAACAATCAAATCACTTACATAGCAGCTACAGGCCGAGTAGTTTCACTTGCTGTAGAAATAGGAAAGAAAAAACAATACATGAATTTTATAGATTACAGGTGGAAAAAAAATATAATTTTTCTAAAATATTTTCATTATATTTCTTTAATAATGTATACCTTCCACAAATCTGGACTTTAATTTTAGTTCAGTGTGCATACAAACCGAGGTAAAGTAAAGGCATGGACATACATGTACATATGAACTACAAGTATGTACTTTCCCTTGAAAACTTTTATACTGTATTTGCAGTTATACAATGAAACTTAATTAACACTCAAATTCAATTTTCAAATAAGCAGTATTGAAAGTGATTGGAAAAAAGTAGTATTCAGCCTTTCTTCATCATTTCTATTTATTCCTTCTGCATTACCATTGTGCATTCAAAGCATATCACCGTGCAAGTTCATTTGCGCCTGATAAGGCTTCTGGAGTTCTTTAAATGCACTGTTAAACAGTTTCCCCAATCTTAATTCAATCTCTTCCACCACACATTTCAGGCAGTGGGAAAAATAAACATTCCAGGTAATCTACCCTCAAAATCAGATTACAATATTTTTCACAGTTTTTCTGATCAATCTGCGGTTATTCTATTACTTCCTTTTATGGAGCAAACTTATTTCTTCGTTGGTAAACGGCTCACAAGGATTATTGGTGTGCAAACACGAAGGGACGGATCCAGTTACATCCAACTCAAATACATCAAGGTCTCAAAAAGGTGTTATTTGCATGGTTAAAATGTTTGTATTCTGAACATGGTACAAAAAGCCATGGAAATTTGGACAAACAGAGGCTGCCCCCCTGTACGAGGGGTAGAGGAGCTGAATGCTGGAGTGACTACAAAGTGGACGGTACTAAAGATCCTTTACCTCTGTGTTCACATTGATGCATACCTTTGGGAAGCTATTGTGATAGAATTACAAAATAATAAGAGAATTTACAATTGTACAGCATATGAACACTGCTCAAAGCAAAGTCAAAGGGCCAATTACTGTCAAACCAAAAACTAATGTGTGCAAGAAGCTTTCATGAAATAGTTGCATTCTCCAGATCCATGAAAGTTTCATACCATGACATTAATCAATTTCAAGACTACATTTTTGTTAAAGCTATCCATGTAAGTTTCTTGCAGCCAAGACTAGCAACTTCAAATTCACAGTAACTTGCATGTGAAGGTGCTATCAGAGCCAAGTATTTGCTCGTATGTAAAGCCACTGCTAAGATTTTGCTCATGTTATGGATTCAGCCCAATCTATCTATTATTAAAATATGTAAATCACAGGTGTTAGAGACGAGACAACTAGGAAAGGGAAACTCCCTTGGATAAGCTGACAATGTCTCTATTAACAGTGTGCCATCTCAGTAATACACAGCAGTCTCACCATGCAGTATTATTATACTGTCATTTCCTTTTAATATTCATTAAATGCACCAATAGGAAGGAGATAACACGCAGTTATTAGGAGTGTACATTGTATTCTCAATTTAAAACTATGTATATCACATTTCAATGGTCATAACAAAGAGAAAGATTGTAATTCATTTATGAGATGGCAAATGAAGACCGGTGTGAACAGTGAGGGATAAGCGTATGCAATGAAACAGCCATATGATCAGCACAGTATTAGGTACATGGAACACCTATATATGAACGCAGTTGGAACACTGATTTGAGGGTAAAGAGTGTGGAGTTAAAATGCTGTATGTTACAGTTACAGGGTATCAAAGTTTGATGATTGTGGGTAGGTTTTCTATGGGTATAGCATATAGAGCACCCATATGTGAACAGCGTTAAAATGCTGATCTGAGGGTGAAGCGTATGGAGCATCTACGTATCAACAGGGTAGAAACACTGATCTGAATTAAAGCTCAAATAGCACTCATGTATGAACAGGGCAGAGACACTGATCTGAATTAAAGCTCGAGGAGCACCCAATGTATGAACAGGGCAGAGACACTGATCTGAATTAAAGCTCGAGGAGCACCCAATGTATGAACAGGGCAGAAACGCTGAACTGTATTAAAACTTGAGGAGCACCCATGTATGAACACGGCAGAAATGCTGATCTGAGGTAAAGCGTATGTTATGAAGCACCTTCTCAACCTTCTCTGTCAATTGACTCAGCTGTCACCGTATTGACTCATCTCGCCTGCCAATCGCTATGAATACTTGAGCAAATACAACCATTTCTCAAACCCCATTCTGCGGCTACCGGTTTTTCTAGAAATATTCAGATGCCAGCTCCAAACACTCTCTCTTTCCGCTTCTACTTGATAGAAATTCTTGAGTTCGATTTGGAAGTTCTAGTTTTCCTTCCACAATCTTACAAAATTACAAATATGTTTAAAACACATTCTACAGACTTAAATGAATGTAGGGAAATAAAAGGATTTAATCTGAATATTGCATTCAGGGCAGGAATGTTTTCAAACAGATAACTTGATCAGATTTATCTCTTCAAAGAATCAAAACTGTAAATTTTCTCCTATTGCTATATTTTTCTAACTATGGTAAAAAGTTTAACATGACTGACTTGTAAGGATTTTTCTTTTATGATATTATCTTGGATCAAATGACATATTGGAAGATAAAGAGAATGGACTACAAAGAATGATGATGTTTTTTCCCTTTCTGCTCTTGGATCAGATATATTATATTAGGCTCTGTAAAAAGCAAAATTCCAGGATGATTATGAACATTTTCAACATAAGCGAGAGTACACGCAGAGGTCAATCTATTTCATGTTTGCCTTTTACTGCGGACTCACCATTTATTATTTTTAAGACGCCATACAGAGAAAGTCATATTCCCTCATCCACGTATAGGCTATTAGTGAAATGCGATATGCTTGTCCATAATTTATCGCAGTCTTGAGCAAAATTGTGTGTTCGAGCGCACGATGCCGCATGCACGTCTGTTCCTTTGTGAAGCTGTGCATTAAGAGAGCGATTATTTGCAGAAAAGTGTGATATTGCTCGGTTTGTATTTGACGAGTTCAAAAGGGTCACCGGCTAAATATTTGCCAACGTCGGAGCTCCAACTGCCAAATTTTCTTCTCCAATCCCTTCTAAAATAAATGGTGGAGAGGGAAATATGATGGAAAGTGTGCCTCTAAATGATATGACAGGATGGATTTGCAATCTGTCAAATTAAAGTGTAGTAGTCCCACATATTGACGAATTGGATCCCTCTATATTGCATACGTATAAGCTCTGATTATACTTTCACACCGCGCAGAAACAAATTACATGGACTTGTACCCAAGAAAGGGTACCTCATTGGACATTTCTGTTGTTCCTTATCATTCCATATACAAAGGAAAGGAAAAGGAATTTATGCTTTGAACCCAGCAAATGTCAAGTTCTCATGTTTTTTTAATCTCCATTTTATATATACAATGTATCTGTACATCATCACCCAAATATTATACAAATAACGCACGGCCCAGAGTGCAATAGCGGTGAATGCAGTACGTGCGAGGTTTCTTTAGATTGGTGCCGCTCTGTGCAACGAGCCGCTTGCGGCGAGTTGACAGTGCGAACCATCTGAAGAAACCGAGCGAACACTGCATTTACGTTTCGCACAACAGGGTCAAGTGCGTTATTTGTTTTATAAAATAGCGACACAAACAGCAACAAACAAAAGTTTAGATCTTAAGTATACGAGAGTTCGATCTAGATCTAGAGTTATGTTGGTTCTACTACATCTAATAGGCCTAGATCTAGTAGATTCTACTAGACTAAAATGAGGGTCTAAAAGTAAAACCTTGCAGGCTTACCGAAAAGTCCACGGGATTCATTGTTTGATTAAAAATAAAATGCATAGGGTGTCTAGAGACGAGTCTACATCAGACAGCTGAAATTCTTGGCTTCATTATAAAATCCAAAAGTCAAAACGGGTCTAAATCCAAGGCAAAAGTAAAATAAAAATTTGCTTTCTAATAATACCCCGCTCTAGCTAGAGCTAAGCTAGCTACGCGTACGCTGCGCTGGGGATCATGGTGGAGCGTACAATATTAGCTACGCGTAGCCTATATAGCCTACAATGCACTCGAGGGAGCGTACTAGTACTACGCGTACGCGCGCGCACTGGATCTCCATGGTCACGTACGCGCCGTGCAATATAACTTTTTACTGCGCTTTTTCTGCACTCATTTCTGCAAAATCGTGCTTGCATCAAAATTTTTTCAATGTCATGTGACGCGTATTGACCAATCACGATGCTTAAAATACTAGAGCCATTTTATAAACAAATATAATATATAAATAGAATGCTTGGCAAAGAGCTGCCCAGTATATGAATTACCAATGTATGCAAGCTCCACTCTGACTTCCACAAAAACATTCATTGGTACCGGTACTAAATATGCTAGTGCAAAACATTTGTTCTCAGTATTTGGGGGGATAGAAGCAGGATAAAGTTTAGTACTTTTTGTGAAGTGATATTTGGCGGGACCTCTAATCCTTGACTTACCAATCCTAGCAAAGAGAATACCCATGGTAGATCTCACACCAGCCCTGTTCTCTGCCACGCACTTGTAGTACCCTGTATCGGTGGTATCTACGTTCCTGATACTGAGTTTTGAACCCCATTCATACTCCTTGGTTGTTATCCTCCGGTCTCTACGCTCCTCGGTGAGAAGGGCGTCGTTCTTATACCACTTATAATGAGGCGTGGGATCCCCGATGATGCGACACCTCAGCGTAGCTTTGTCACCGGTGTGGAGTTCGGTCTCGTTGTTCATAGGTCTTTCCATGATGATGAAATAACGAGCTCTGTCATCGTTAATAAAATTTAAATCAGATAAATATATTAATTGACAATAATTCACAGAGCTGATAATTTAATATTCCATGTACTTAAATATACATCAAGGACTGTACAGGTTAATACTCATTGGAATTATTACTGCATTTAAATTAAATAGACCTCTACAAAATAGACTACCGGTAGTAATTTGAAAAATGGTATAAATACTTGAAGGCAGTGGTAATAAGAAATGACAACCTTGTCATACAATTAGTATTCTTACAGGGTCGCCAACTGTTTTTATCTGTTAAATATTGTTCAGCTTTGATCAATGAGTGGAAAATGTACAGCTTGTTGATAACTTTGCAGATAAACTTGTAAAATTTACTTGCATAATATGATACTTGATTGAATTTTATGTTGTTGTACATGCATATTGGATGAACAACTGACAAATCTGTTATATACTTACGTTGGGACTCCAAACGGGGTGATTGTGGCAACTACAGAAATTAAGAAGGAAAAAAAAGTGAAATCAGACAATAGTGAACGCTCAAATTCTCTCTGCCAATGTAAAATCATTTCAATAAAACTTGTTATCAATAACAAATTCTATTATTCAATGACAAATCTGCTCTCATTCAATCAAATGTCACGATTTCTGTAGTTTATAATGATTAGCATTCCAGGTACATTGGGCTTCGCTACTACTCAATTTGAGCATTGTTTCTTCTCCACTGTTAAGAAGCATGCCATTTACTGCTGTTAAAGCATAAGAGTCATGCTAGAACCTCCTTGACCATGATGCACAGTGTACAGTTACAATTTTTTCTATGCCACAGATCTCAGATTTGGATCAAACGTGAAATGGGAGAGGCTACCTTGAGGCACATAGCGCACCTCTTAATGCACCAAGACGGCGGAAATAAGAAAGACTGCTTGTTTTTCTCATATATCATTCCAAATCAACACAGCCCCAAGATTCAGATGAATTTAGAGAGATAGCGTAATTGCGGATTTTAAGTTCTAAATCTCTATCTCAAGCTGTTTATCTAAAGACAAGCAACCTTTTAGTGGAAATTGAGTGGATATCAGATGATAAATAATACATGGCTGTTATGAACCCATACATGTATCTCCTACACTGATCAGTAATGGCATTAAGAATGGAATCAGTATGCTGTAATGAATACAGAATAGACATGCAATTGAAGGTATACTAAATTTAAAATGCACCAGATAACCTCATATAACCATGGTTACTAGGGTATGTAAAATACTGGCCTACATCTACATGTACACACCTGTCAGAAATTATATTCAGTTCTTTTATCAATTAAATATTATCCCAAATATTGAAACAAATACTTTATTTATGCTTTTTTCGCTATCCATATACTCATGAATTCTTTTATCACAATAATAAATTTAATACAACATTTTTCCTCATATCCCTCTCATAATTGAATTTGTTATTCTACAGTGTAAGATTGTTGTTTAAAGAATAAAATCAATATTACCAATATAACTTTTTATAATTGATAGATAATTTCTTAATCCATCTCTGCTCTCTGTCTACATCAATAGTAGTAATGGGATCTTGAGTGATATAAAATACTGGATATGTATGTCAAACAAGAATTATAACATCCCTAATGTGTTATTAAGAGTAATGCACCTTGATTTGCCCACTATAGTAATATGAAATAAATTTAATAGGCCATTTTCGTAATGTAACCAAATTTCTGCATATGGCTTTGTGAGGCGCCTCGATAACAATGATTTCATTCACCTGTTACAAATAAATGTATCTCAATAGTCAGATTTCAAATTGCATACATGAGTTGTTGCTAGGTAGGACAAACATCAGGGCTTGCCCTACCTAACTAAATGTAATATTTGCAATGTGTATTCGGACTATTGAAATACAATAATTTGTAACGGGTGAATAAAATAATTTTTATCGAGGCACTCAAGCATAAATTTGGTTACATTACAAAAATGGTCTATCAATTACCTCCACTTTCTGACATGCCCATTCTGAGGCATGAATTCTCAGAGTTGGCGCCGGCAACGGCCCCAGGCAGCGGCAAATCTGTGCAAATTGGCAACATATCGACGAGCCCCAGCTCCGGCTGAGCGTCCACATAGTCCACCAGAGAGGAGCAGATCTCGGTGGTTAGCAGACGACACTCATCATAGCACATCCTATGAACGGCCAAGCGAGGGCGCTCTCTGCAGAGTGGGAAGGCTGTGAGGCACATGGATGGCTTGAGGTACTTGGTGCAGCGTTGGTTGAGTGTGATCGGTAGATCGTTGTTGATCTGTTGAATGGCAGCACCTAGAGCAGCCTCGATGTCTGCTTGGGTTTGTCCAGCCGGGATGTAGACCTGACTGTTAGCTATGTGCGGACTGCATACGCTGCCTCTGTAGGGCTCACATTGAGGCTCATCCACACTCATCTCATCTAAGTAATCACTGCCAAAATAAAGAAGAACAAATATATTGATCATCATAACGACGTTGCAATTATCATCCATGACAAAACTTAGGGTGTAAGTCCAAGGTATTTGGTCCTTTTGTGTTCCACTCCCATTCATTACCAAATAGTAAGGGGTACTGAACAGAAATAACATCAAAGCAACATTATCCTGTATATTTCATCTGGTCCAAGCTATGGTAAAGCTTTAAAATTGACACAAACATAATAAATACTAAAATGATGTGATGTAGTCAGTAATATCAGGGGAAAAAACTTGGACCAACTTTAAAATCAAATAACTTCAGCAAAGTCCACTTTCATAAACAGCTCAATGTAATATTTTCTTTGTTCAAAACTGATCTACAACGTCATTATCACTTGACGAGACGCTGGAGTTCACATTCTCACTTTATCTCTATAAGCCATACATCAAGTGTTATTCAAGAGGAAAAGAGCAACATGAACGGCAACACGGATTTGATTTCATCCTGTGATCTATTTCCTTGAAATGCCCTCCTCTTAAAACAGGAAGTCCTTACACATGAAAAGTTCAAGCGACAGTCAAGTCCGATAAAACGTGAAAATGTGCATCGGAGGTGCATTCCCAATATCCACCCATGAGAGAAGAGGGAAGTGGTATTTATTAGGTCGTCACATCGCTCCGGTGTGCTTGGCTAACTCGTCTTCTTCCCGCTCCAGTTACACTCCCTCTATCAGGGGGCCATGAATAGATAATATCTCTCAAAGATGATCAAGTCATTCCCTCCCACCAACGCTCGGCACGCATTCATCCAGTCTGTGTTCTCTCATTTTAAAGCTTACTTGGTAAACTGGGGCAGATTATAGATGGGTATCCTCCTCTAAGTCTTTATGATTGAGCATAAGCTGCTTAATCTCAATAACCCACCCATTTCGGGCCATATCCTTTTTTCTTTAGGGGAACAAGTAAAGAGGATAATATTGAAATGTTGTGATAAACTCACAGTAGATTGAAAGGTCATAGTATTGTCTGTGCATACAATACAAAACTGTCCTTTTTTGTTGTCTTTTTTTCTCCCTCCATTAAAAATGCTTGAGGAACTTTAAACAAAGTACTTTTAAAGGAATAGGTAATTAAAGGAAAGGGAAAGGGAAAGACAGATGAATGAAATTTATATCATCTTATCTACAATTCAGTTTCAAGTTATACAACAACAAAAAAGTTCTATTGAATGTTATATGCTGCCCCAATAGAAATGGTACAACAGGACACTATTAAAGCCCAACTGCACTACTTATAGCTACTTGCGCCCTCTTTATAGCAAACAATGCCTAATCGGTGATCATTGGTCCCCCATGATCCCCTTTTACTTATGTTAATTGAGAACTGATTTGATGAGATAAAAAAGGCACCTATCAGTGACCATGCAGGGAGGTCTAATCCCTCCTGACCAAACTAGTGCATTGGGCTTTAATACATCTGTGAGGATTCGTACAAACTTGCTGAAAGAAAATCAGGATCACTCTGCATGTACATGTACATGTAATGACATCTACTGATCTACTGAAGATATTAAGTCATTTTCCAAATCATTTCACTGGCTTGAGATTTAAACAAAAGAATTCCTCTTTTACTGTGTCTGGCTAGTCTGACAATACATTAAGTTCCTCCATTTGCATGTGTAATAATTTTATCACAAGATTTATACAAGATTGTGTAGGCTTCCCCAATAAAAAAATTTGAATATATGAATGAAAGCTCTCTAACCTATCACTGATGGGGTGTGAAGCATTGCTCTGGAGGGCTACATGTATTACTTGAAACACTTATTTCATGCAAATCAGCAACATATGGGGAGCATTGAGAATACACTTGAAGGGGAAATTGACCCTTTCTTAACAGCATGTTTTAACAACAACCATTGACATCCTGCACTCAATGTACATATAGAAGTGATGATGCACCACACTTTACAAATAGTTTCCTGGAACTCAAATGTCTGTAGAGGCTCAGGGAGGATGGAAATCAAAGTCATGGAAATCAAAGTCATATAAACATCTCTCCGAAAAATACAGATGATTACAGGGTGATACAGGCATGGTAAAACAAGCTGAAATAGATTGCTAAATTCCTCATACAAAATATGAAAACAACATGCGTAAGACCAATATCTGATAGGTGCTTATCTAACTAAAAAGTTAACAAGGCATGGACAGGGCCAAAGAAATGAAGTTTTAATAGTTTCGAGTCTAAATGCCCTTTAAATTAAATACAATTTTAATGTCATCTAGGAGACAGAAGGGTGTTGATACTATGTATTTAGTATAAACCCACTTCTAGGTCTATGTAGACAGTTATCATAATGCAGTGTACACTTGAAAGTCATGGTAGGACACATGAGAACAAATGTTGAAGGATGATCAACAACAAAAAAGTGAAAATGTTGGGGGAAAAGGTGAGAATATACAATTCCAGAGAGAGAAAAGAGGAAGAGCTTAAAGGATAAATTACTAAGTATATTATTAACTTGGTATAAAAAGAGTGTACTGTGTTCTATGAAATATGCAGGAGGGTTATAGAATTAAAGACTACAGAATATCCAAGAATATGTGACTGAGATAGAGATGGAAAAAAGTGAGATATGTACAAAAAGATGGTTTCAGGAATGTACAAATTGCCGACAGGGAAACTCAAGAAAGTGTGGCGGTCTTTCTTGAAGGAGAGCGAGTTGCTAGCCAAGTGGAATTACATCAAGAATTCATAGGTTTGATCACCGGCACTGCCCCATCAATGTCATAAATGATTCATGAAACCCTACTCCCAAGATAGCCACCAATCAATACATTCTAGACACGGGAGACGGAATGGAGATGATCGAACGACTCATCTCCCAAAACGCGGTTTGGCAGGAACCGCTGAGATCCCCAAATCCTTGTTTGATACAAAAGTGATAATCGATTCGTGCACAGGACATCTTGAGCCCAGCCTCCATCGTGACGTATGCCAAGATTGCCTGTATGACTGGAATATGAAGAGTGTGAGATATTACTAGCAAAGGAAATATGACAAGGAAGATGTGATAGAGACAGAGCACATGATAAAGGGGGAGAATCTTCAACCCCCCCCCCCTATTCTCACCCCATACCCAGAAGAAAACTATCAAAGAGAAATGCTATTAAATATGAGAACGAGTGGGGGCTAGTTAAACTCTAATAAATGAATTATATATCTCTATATGATTATGATAGTAACATGATAATGATGATGATGATGATGACGATTATAATGATGACGATGATGATGATGAAGATGAAGATGATGACGACGATGATGATGTTGATGGCGGTGATGATGATAATGATGATAAAAATGAAGAAGGTGACTGTTATGATTATGATCCTGGTAAAAGTGTTGATGATGATGATGAATCACGTTGATGCTGTATATTTATGAGGAAAAAATTTATGAGGAAGGCAATTATGATGATCATGATCATAAATATGTAGTGACAAATCAAGGAAAAGAATAGTGGGAGCCGATTTCATGATGAACAAGGGTCCACAGTGAGAAAAGTTTTTACAACAAACAAAAGTGTGGGAGTTAGCTTCAACTTCAACTCTCAAGGAACGAGCATAAGATGCCGTAGGACAAATTGCACATGATCATTAGACCTTTCTCCCAGCCCACGCAGCAAAGTGCTATCACGATTGCGGAAGACAACCTCAATATTTGTACGTGCATGCGCATGCAAGTAAATGAAGTCTAAATAGACGTGGCAAATAAGGAGAAAGCGAGTCTAATTGCCTTAAACAACAGATGCCCACAAGACCTCATGCCCCTGACCGCTTGAAGACGATCGTCAAATGGAGGAGACAGAATCGGGCGACAACGGAAGAATGTCTTATTAGGTTCCAGAGTCCAGGCAAACATGATGAAGCCTGGCAAGGTACGTCGCAATTGATGACTCCCGTCTTGTGACAAATGGAAAACCTACACGCAAAGTTTGGGTTCGGGGGGGGGGGGGGGGGTCCTCGCGAAAGAGAGAAAATGGGCAAGGAAGTTCACTGTACTAGCTGTTTATTGGCTGTAGTACAACATAGTGTATAAACGTGAAGTGATCATGGTTTTGTAATGTCACTCTAGCCGGTTACTGCATACCTGCCTGTATAGCTAGCTCCTCTGTGAAATTCAGTTATAATGGGGACGGAAAGAGCCAACCACACTTGGCGAGAAGGAAAAAAGATGTGGTAGGGAGATGGCAAAGATAAAGAAGGCAGAATTTAGTTTGGTAAATGAAGAAAAAAGTTATTGAAGTATTGAAAGAGGAGGGAAAATTACTATGGATGTAAAATACAACCATAGTCTATATAACATCTTTAAAAATACACTTTCTCAATTGTGTTGATGTATCAGTCACATAAAACTAGTACTTCTTACAAAATCAGTGTGTTTTATCAATAAACCCTGTATTTGTGTCACAACTTCTCATGAGTACCAGCTTGACAAAGCCCATATCTTGCGCACCATTGCCCCCGACTTGACAAAGAGGGAAAATCAAATTCTTGTGTCAGAACAAGTTCAAGTAGCTATCACGTATCTTCCATGTATCCACCTGTTCCCATATATCTTCTTCACTACTGCAGGAAGCATGTTTATGGTAACACAATATTGGTGAAACCCACCCCCTGTTCCGGGATTCATTTCTCGTGATGATCAGGATTATATGCTGAAATATACAAATTTAATAACAATGTCACTGAGCAAAATGTGTGATATAATGTAGTATTTAGTATTTTTTATGTATTGAGTGTGGCAGGAAGACTATGAAAATTAATGATACACTATGAACAAAATATGAAACAAAATTGAAATCTAATGTCTGGATTTTCCTCTGCAATGTGGATTAGGCTATGTGAAAAATAGATTATAAAATAGGAAACAACCTCTCATTAACGAAGCTGATCTATTTCTATCCAAGGGGGGTTAACAAAAACATGCAAGCGAATATAACAGATTAATAAAGAAAGTATACTAAGGAAAAGCGAACATGAGAACTTGATGTTAATAACTGAGACAACAGATTAAATGAGGGGGGTTATAAAGAAGAACAAGACAAAGGCATAACAGAAGATGTCGATCTTTCCCACCCATAACAATGACAGGCATCTGTGTGTCCTACACGTATAATGTATGTGTATCAATCCTCCACAGGTATACTCTCTGGGTAGATGCTCAAGCAACAGCTTTTAGTTGAGCTGTCTTGTCCGAGGTGGCCTTCTAGAAGTAGTAACCTTAGCACCTCGGCCGTGGCTACTTCAGCATTCATTATGACTTATGCAACACGTGAATCATCCCTCTTCACCTTGCTACAAGATGATGGAAGGCTAACTGTCAATCAGATGCTGCCTATGATGATAAGGTATGTTGAAAGCCAGAAGGGCGTTTACTCTGTATTGAGGTATATGAGTTAATGCCCTTCTAGCTCCAAACAGACGAATTATCATTTGTTGAAAGCCAAAAAGTAGTTTACTCTGTGTTGAGGTATATATGATTATGAGTTATACCCTTATAGCTCTGAACAGACGATTATAGTCAATATTCCAGTCCCTGAATCAGAAACATGTAGACATCCATGTACATTTTATTTCAAGTTTCTTAAATAAGGAAGAAAGCTTATGTCAAAATTAAAATGTAACACATAATACCTACGAGATAAATTCAAAATAACCTTTGGCGGATTCTTATACTCTTTTGCTTTTCTCTAATTAATTATTGGATGTTTCTAAAGCTTTTGTCTCTTCTAAAATTCTATCTTAAATTTCATCAACCTGAAAAATCACTTCCAAATCCTTCAACCCCCTCCCCCCCCCCCTTCTTCCTCTCTCTCTCTCTCTCACTCTTTGTATGTGCATGCTTCCCTCTCACATCCACATCCCGGCCCTTGCTTCCACTCTTCCTCTCCCTCCCTCTCTCTACCACTCGCATCACCCACCGCTTCAAGATGGAGCAGGTGGCATGATTTCATGGTAATTGGCAGATCTGGGTCTTACTTTAGAACAAAGATGCTGCCCCAAATTGGAAGAACAAAATTAGGCCAATACCAGTGATTCAAGAAAGGGGGTCATCATAATGGTGCTATGAAAACTGGATCACAAAAGACATCAACAGAACAAACAGGAAACGTCCCTTGGTTTCAGCTGCCCTGAGTATTATTCCATTTATATCATCAAGATCATTAAAGATCAAAGGGCCACAGACCCAGTGAGGATTGGGATAATGGGAGAAGAGAGTGAGAGGAGGAGGAGATTAGAGAGGAAATTTTAATCAATGACCATTAAAACAGAACCAATAGGGATGTTGGACGTGACATCATCCCCCTACCCCCCCCCCCCCCCCCACTCACTTTAATATTTTATGTTTGGACATTTTGAATTCTTATAGGCTGTCACCAAATAGATAGACAAAAATGATGACCAATATAACATTAATGTGAATCGAAAAACCCAACAGACAGACAAATAGACAAACAAACACAACAGTCAACTTACCTGACACTACTCTCACTGTATGTAGGTGAATCTGTAAATTTATAGACAAGTCAGAAGACAGAGGGGTGAAACAAAAGAGAGAGAGAGAGAGAGAGAGAGAGAGGGGTGGTAGAGAGGGGGAGAATAAAGGAAAGGAAAAAGAAATAGAGTAATAATTAATATTGTATTAAAATGATTTTTGTTTTTTTCTTCAATAAAATAAAGCTAACAGTAAAGAAATATTATAAACTGACAACTTAGTTCTGAGATGGGAACTTGCAATAATAATACTAGTAGCCCCAAGGCAAGTCCAGTACTCCGAATTATCTGCAGGTATTCAGGAGCCCCAGGCCCCAGGTCAGTCTGTGTAAGACCACTCTACTGGTCAAGGTAGTGACCATTCAACATGACCATGGACATGGATCACCTAAATAATAACAATGGTTCTGCTCACATCATCACATGTGATTTCTTTCTTCGATAGTTCCTACAAAAACTGAGCATACAACATCACGGAGCAGCCAATGCTGGGGGAGGGGGTGGCACATGCTCTGAACAACTTCTTGCTATTTTCCCCCATCAATTTACACAAAATATACATATTACTCACATTGTCTAACAAAATGTACAATTAACTATTCTGCAAAATACTTCACTGTGGAGTCTTCTGATACATTCATGAATTGATAGACAGTAAAGACAGCACTTTCCTTTCCTTGACATCCTTTCTACAAGTATATATTAATAACATTTTTAAAAACCAAGGATTATCATCAATTTACTCTTGTCAGAGTCTTTGTCTCTGTGCCTCAAGAGATACGGAACATCTGCGATCCATCTTCACCCTAACTCCTCCACAAGACATACATTAGCTGCATTTACAAGTTGCAACCAAAACTTGTTGATTTTTCTCTCATTCCGGTGTTTCGCTGATAGTTGCTACCGGCGAAACACAGGAAGGAGAGAAAAATCGATATCGAAAGATCCACCTCTGGAGTGTAGTTTTTTTTTAAACGCCTGCCAAAGCTTCATCGATTTTTGCAGTGTAAATGCAAACTTTGGAAGGATACCGATTTTAGCTCTCCTCGCTTCTGTGCTAACGCATGCAGGGCACTGATGTGTGTCGCATGTGCCCTTCTCAGTTCTCACCAAAAAATTGGTATGAGCAAACTTCAACGTTTTTTTTAATGGGTTTTCCCACTTGTGTAAATCATAGTTTTACAAAAATTGATGATTTTTCAAAATGGTGTTTGGGATGTGTAAATGGGCCTATTATTTGAACCTTCAAATTCAGGACAATTTTCTTGTAATTTACTCTTGTAATTTCCAGTCAGGGTATATTACTTAATTAATCAGATACCGGTATATGCACTTTGGAGAGCAGTTCTAACATTCTGGATCAGAACGAGTCCATTAAAAACTAAGGGTACCATATTTCTGAAAATGACTAAAGATGTTCATGATTGAACTGAAAACACCCCAAACCAACCATGATTCTTTCAAAGTTATCATGTGGAAATCATCTCATATGACAGCACCAAAGAGGGATGGAAACAGGAAGCAATTCATGCAGAAAAGGGTTGTCCTCAAGACTAAGGTCAAAGGTTGAGTATCTAAAGGTCATCTCTACACTAGGAGTGGGTGAGGACATATTTATCATATGCTGACATTGCCAGTTGACTGGTAATCTAGGCAAAGGTTTGAGGATGATAAAAAGGGAAAGTATGTATTTAAAAGAGGCTGATTCTCACTGACTCCATGCAAGGTTCTGCTGACAAAATCTCTTCTAAAGTGAAGTTCACATGACAGTCCATTAAGTTAACTTTAAGTTCATGTTTTGTTTTAAACTTCAAAGTTATCTTGTACTTAATAGGGACTATGTGGACGCACTCATGATTATGAAAATTTAAGTATAATTAAAGTTTAAAAGAATCACGAGCTATCTTATGATTAGCGTAATAAATACGAGCAGCAAGAAGTCCCCACTCAAAGTTATTAGCCATGCGGTCCGGACGCAATTAACTTCAATATTATGCCAGCTTGTAGTTATAATGACTGATTGCCAAGCTCGTAGTTTAAAACTTTGACTGCTTGTTGTTTCGCTTCCTTGTGACCCTGTCGTTGTTAGTGGATTGCTGTTTATAACTTAAAATACACTAACTTAAAGTTTAAAACTTGATGGCCCGTATATACATAGCTTTAAGTAAACTGACAATGGTTGAAAGGTGCTTTGATCTACATAATCTATCTGACACATATACTTGAAGAAAGTGTGATGGAAATCTTTGTGACCTCATATTCTCTACCAATTTTAAATTTAATGTTAAAAAATATGGACATAAATGGCTGTAATTACCGGCACAAAAGTTCCATTTTGTAATGATGCACTTATGCCACAACCTTAATCAACCGAAATAGCAAATTTTCGCAGCCCTCATTTCTATTTTTGTTGGAATAACTCTCAGAATATAGCATTCTACTTCTTTAAAAAAAAAAAAAACTTTTTTTTAAATTTATCTCAATTATTAGCTGCAAAATTCAATCACAAAAGTCAAGATGTAATATCAAATCGGTCCAGCTCCCTTGAAGAAAAAAATATAATCCTTTCAAGGTCAAAATGGAGCTCCAATGTCAGGTTCAATGAATAGGCAATCACTCTTTGTGTGGTCCTAAACATTACGAGAGGGAAATGTTCCCCTATAGCTGCCAGATGGCCCTAAACTAAAGAAAGGGCATCACAATGCCAAATATCTGAAGAATTGTTTCTACGGAGACTAACCCATCCCACGTCTATGAGGAATTCAGTCTACATTCTGGGATTAGATAGCAACATAAACTGAAGCCCACATGCAAAATAGCATGCATTCTTTCTGACTGAATAATTTCCACTGGAAAGGATCATTCAAAGTTTTGAAAGTGATAACAAAAACTTGTTAATTTCATTGCCAAACACAGAAACTTGGTCTACCATATGGAATTGTAAAGGCAAGCAGAGGATAAAAATGTCCAATCAGATATTAATCAATTTGTATGTGATCCCTGGATAACCTGATGATTTCTTGATCTGTTTGGCATACACATGTAGGTGGTAGGCCTCTATCTACTAGTAGGCCTAATTACATGAACCTTTCATTCAACATTAAGCCTTTATCGGTGGGTTTTTTAATCAGAAATAGGCCCTACATTATCTGCTCCTGAATAAAACTGCTATTAAAAAGCCAAATACACAAAAATTACTTTTAAAAGCACCCTCTTTTTGTTCCAAAGGGTCAATAACTCAAAATCCTATGAGGGTCGAGATTAAGGTTACCCCTCAAGTCTTTCCATACCCTGGGGGTTAACATTTCTTCATCCTAATACACAATGTTCATGGCTGGCAGGAACATGTGGAGATAATCCTTGGATAAAGTCGAACACCTTCATGAAAGGCTTGCCTCTTTGATTGAGAAAATACCAGAAATCCTACCACCACAATCCATCTAAAGCTTCAATTCAGAACCCCAAAGTCATCACACCCTTTTACCACAAATCCTACCGACCAACTCCGCACCCCTAGACTGACCTGGGCGTACCAGGTATAGATGGAGAGGAAGGGGGTGGAAGGAGGGGAAAGGGGGTAATATAGCATCATTCTTTGTTTTCAGGTAAGAAACATGTAGTCATATTCAACCTCCAACAAGATGTCTATATTTCAAGGTTCAAAATTAGCTGTTGCTTTGGATGCTAATCAGCTGTTGCTCGGATGCCAATGACCACCTAAAATACTACCAAGCGATCCAACAGTCCTGCTTGTGTTGCCTGACAGGCAACTTTACAAATTTCACTGTTGTTATTAGCTCATGAATAAATTAAAATTCACTGCGAATGACTACCAAAAAGGAATCTTAGCAGACATTGCCAGGCAACTGTCTGGGATTTCCCACGGGCTACCAAATAAAAAGTTGAATGAGAGCCCTGTATGGGGGATGGAGGGGGATGGAGGGGGATGGAGGGGGGGGGGGGGCTTCACCCCTTTACCCACAGTGTCTGTACCCCTGAGCAATGTTAGTATGTTTCAAACTGATAAGAGACTGATCATAATCAATGAATTTCTTCTCTTTCTCCCCATGACCTCATGTGCTACTCTTTCAATTGGCTACATCAACTTCCAGATGTTGCCACAGAGTATGGCCGCTAGAGAGGGAGGTAACATACCCCCCATTTAGACTCCCACAATTCATTGTATAGATGTATGATAAGTAGTTACATGTACATTTGTATGGTCTGAATGTGGTTTCAAGAAACGTTGTATAGCAAAACGGCCGTTTAAACAGCATTTCAAACAAAAACTTGATAAACTTATCCCTCTCTAGTTTGAACGTTGTAACGTACAAAAGCGTAAAACGGGTGGGGGGCGGGGCTTATCGTGAGCGTGCATTGATGATTGGCCAGCTGCAATGTGAATCTATGACATCTTTAACACTAGCTTTGTAATACAAAATTCTTGAGATGATGTTGTTTTCTAGTCTGTACGCTCCTTTTCCTATACAACAATTCTTTATACAATGTTTCTCTAGACGAGTTTAGTATAAATTTCCTTTATCTGAATGGGCTAAGAGAGAAGTAACTCAGTAGGGAGATCATTCCTAGCTGGAGGCGTGTGGTTGAATGCAAAAGTCACTGTTCCCACTTTACATTATCCACTCAAAAATGCATCAAAACCCAAAATTAATTTAAACATTAGGCACATGGAAATCAAAGTGAATACCCCATGAATATATTCTTTCAAAGCTTTCAGGAATACCGCTCAGTGTATCTAGTGAATCTGTAGAGATTACTAGTAAGCATTTCCGAAGTTGTAATTTGTGTAACTACTTACTCACTGTACTAGCTCAAAAACTTAATTTTCTAAATTTGAATATTTCTGATAAATTCTGTTAAAATCCATAGGGAATCATTACAAGAAATGGATCTGTACATGTTTCAAACTTTCAATACTAATTCCAATTTTTCAAAACCGGTTGTCACAAATTTTAGAGTTGGTATATGGAAAATCAACAGGAACATTTTAAC